TGGCACCATCATTGCGCTCTTCCCAGGGGAGGCAGATCAGTCGCCGGCTTCTGGACGGCCGCTCACTGCAGCTGCTGGCTGCTCACGCTGGCTGCTGGCTACACACGGTAGTCCATGGCAACCCACTGCAGCAGGGGCTGCAGCCTATGCTGTGGACTCACAGCAGCCCAGCTCCAGGTTGAACTGTTGTTCAGCATCTTAGCAGTAGAGGGCCGTGTCACTGGCCCTCATATGTGGGCTCCGAACCGGGGACCTCTGGTGTCCCAAGCCAGCTCTTAACCAATGCACCACTCGGCTGGCCCTGTTGAGAATTCTTTAAACAAAGTATCTTTATGCAGTGTGACATAAATTAAATGCTGTTTCTTCAAAATAGTATTTCTCATTTTAGATCTTTGAGGGACCATTTTCCCCCTAATTTAGAATAACAGAAGTAGGATAAAAAAATGCACTTTAACTAAATTGTGCAGTTGTATTTGCACAGTTGTATGCTTGGCAAGGAGAGATTGGGTCTGGAACGTAACCTAAAAGTATGTTCTTTCATTTTTGAAAGAAAAATCCCAGTAGAAACTTACGTTAGTTTAACAATAAGGAAAAATGCAGATCATTTAGTGTAGAGGAATTACTGTGTATCAGGTACTGTGCCAAAAGAAGAAGACCTACAAATGGATAAGACAGTACCCCTGCCTTCAGGGTGGTAAGACTTTATCGCTTACTTGAAATGTCAACAAGTACAATATGTTTTTAAGATTGCTTTGACTGGAGAAAGTATGGGGATACAGTGGTATGAGGAAGTGGTCAATTTCTTAAGGGAAGAGAAGGAGAGATTGAGGAAGGGGCAGTAGTAAGGAAAAATTATGTATAGGAGGGGATGAAAACAAGTATACATGCTTAGAAAGGATGGCCGTTTAGGTAGAAGGAACAGTGCCCCCAGAAGCACAGGAGTCTAAACTTACGTAATGAGTTGTAGGATCTGCAAGTATAATTAGTGAGAGTGTAGGGTGGTGGCAAGACATGAAACTGGGGAGGTAGGCAGAGACCAAATTATGGATAGTAGAAGTAATTTCAGTTTTACCTTGTAAGCAAATAGGAGCCATTGAGACAGGGTAAACAAGAGAGGCCTAAGCCAGGCCCACCCATTTTTCCTCCCTGATGTGGTATTATATCAGGTACTTTATACTTTATGTCCTTTAACTTAAGGAAAGCTTAGGCATGACTGAGGAAGAAAATGGGGAGAAAGGACCTTAAGGCAGAGGGAAAGTGGGACATAATTAGAGAGAGAATGGTACACTTTTAAGAATGGGAAGTTCTCTACAGTTATAGCATTGGGTTAATTATAAATATTGGGTAGCAGAAGATGAGGCTGCACAGCTAGATCCTTCAAGTGTAGCATGCTAGTCTAAGGATTCTAGAGGTTTTTTTCCTATAGATAATAATAGAATTTATGGATTTTAGTCAGAAAAGAGTCATATAGTAAAGTTTATTTTAGAAAGGTCATTCTGCTATTGTATAGATTTCAAAAGGGATGGGAACGATAAGGCAGGATGCAGAAAGACTGCCTGGGAGTTTTTGTAATATTTGAGATGACAGATAAGGGCCTAAACAAAGGTAGTGTCATTGGAGATACAGAGGATTAGGTAAAGTATTTAGAAGTTAGAATTCGTATGATTAACAGTTGGATTTGGGGAGTGAGAAATAGTAGGATAACAGCACTTGGATTTTAATTTGGGTGATTGAATAAACAATGGTAAAGTATACTGAGATGGAATTCTGGAAGAGGTCCATATTTGGGGAGGAACAGTATTTTAGCTTTTGGATATACTGAGTAGAAGTTTTTCTATGAAGCATTCAGGTGGAAACATCTGCAGAGTTAGGTATGTGGGTTTGGAGTACAAGAGAGAGGTCTTGGTAACACTCATCAGGCTGTATATTATTACAGGTGGTAGCTGAAGCCTCTGATTTAGATTAATACCACGTAGGAAGAGCTTACTGATGGAGAGTAGTCCTGGAAATAGGACATGGAGAATAACATTGAAAGCCAGATAGAGGAAGAACTGGAAAAGGAAATTCCTGTTTCGAGATGTTGAGAAATCATGAGAAAATGTCGTAGAATCCCAAATGGGATTGTTTGAAAAAGAAACTATATTTCATAACTGACTCCAGAAAAAATAAAAATTTAAAAAAGGAAGCTATACTTCAAATGCTTTGAGAACTTGAGTAAAACAAGGATTATTAAGAATCTGTTGAATTTGATAACTGAGCAGTGTTGTAGCATTCTACTTAATGCTAACAGTGGAAAGAAGCTAAGTTTCATTGAATAGAGGAGTAATTGGGAGGTCAGAGAGTGTAGAAAGCAAATGTAGATTACCGTGTTTGCCGGCGTATAAGACGATTTTTTGGCCCTGAAAAATATGCCTCCAAGTGGGGGGTCGTCTTATACGCCAGGTACACTTCAGATAG